GCATATCGAATAATGTACGAATTTATCGATAAAAAAATAATGTTGAAAGGATCTCAAGATTGATGAATATTTCGCGATAGGAATCGCGATTACGTGGCGGAAAATGAAAAATCGGCGCCCGAAGGCTCGATTATCTCTTCCTCCTCGTGTCCAAGATTCATATCTCTCGATGCGAAACGTCGATTGACGAGTGATGAAAGAAACGATCATTTCGACTGCTGTAAAAACTTTACTTTGATCTTCCATTTTCGAAGAATATTGCAATTTACGGAAAAAACAAAAATCAAGTATGGGATAAAATATCTCCAATATCTCCAATAATAATTATTATCACATATCAAGTCCAAGTATCCAAATAAATACCAAATTTTCTTAATCATTATTGTGAACAAACTTTATAATCAAGAAACAAAGGAAAATTCATTAATTTCCTCCATTGTCCAACGTCACAAATTTAAACGTCACTTAAACCTCAAAAGTTAATTTTCCAATCATCTATCATCGTATCATCGCTCCAATTAAAACCACTCATTCTTTCATCTTCTATTCCATAGAGAAAAAGCTAGTTCCATGTACGAGGAGTTCTATCTCAGCTACGATATCGCTTGTTCAAAATCACCCCGGACCCATCCCACACGAAGGATGTCAGGGTTTCTTTCATGGACAAGCGGCGATCGATGCACTTCCACGACACCCTGTATGCGGTGGAAGCCGGAGGCTAACGCGTGGGTGGGCGTCTCGCAACGAGGGGCACAGGCGTCTCGACAAAGTCGGGGTGAACGTTGCCGGTCGAGACGCGGATTCTTTGCCCAAAACAATCTCGTCCGTTGAGTCAGAGCCCTGTTTGGAAAGTAGAACGGACGGGCCTAGTTACCTCCGCTATTTAAACATGGCAGTACACTCTACGCGTAACCCCCTTTTGTACGCCCCACAGACCTCGGTGGAGAACTCTACTTGGAATTTGTGATTTATTACGTCGTTTCTTTTTTCTGTTTTTTTTTTTTTTTTCTTTTTGTGGAAGTAATTACTTATTGGGTTAAGTTTTAGGGGAGACGAGGGGGGAGACGAAGGTTCGAACGTGAGACGTTTCCCTTTGAAATATAAGCGGTCGAATTTTTTTAAATAGAAGGAATGAACGGGTTATGGAGAGTTTCTTGATTATGTAATTATTGTATGTGCATATATATATTTATTTTTGGAAAGTTTTGGAAGTTGGATTGGTTATTTATCTATTTGTTCACGTTCTAATTATGGAATATCAGAAAATTATTAAATTTCTCGCGTGTATAATATAAGAAGGGAAGAACTGAAAGTTGGTAAGTTTATTTAGTCCCTAATGCATAAAAATTGTACCATCAGATGGATAGTTTAATGTAATGGTTGGAAGATTTCGCAAATTTGTGGCGTATTACGTCTTTTTTAAGGAAGATATAAAGTTCGTGATAATTATATTACACGCAAAAGTACGGGAATAAATCCGCATCCAAAGTAACATAGGCATCGCTATTTTTAACCACGCGCAAACTTCAAACGAGCCACGTAATATTTTTCACATTTCACGGTGTTGTTGCTGTAATTTGACTTCTGATTTCGTGGTCCATTAGTCATTTTATTTACGATCCAACTGTAGATCAATGTGAAATAAAATTCGTCGTACAAAGGAATGAGTCATACGCCTAATTCGCTTAATCTATATAAATATATATATATATATATATAGTATGTATCGATTCGATTTTTTCGAAGAAAGAATTTATCGTAATCTGGATGAAAATGCTTTTTTTTAAATGAAAATATATATCCATTTATCAAACATCTTATCTTCGATAAAGTAATTATTATCTAAGCAATACTATAATCAAAAAAAATTCAATGCATAAATCATTAAGCGTTTGACAACGTTTAATCTAAATTTATCCGTATTATTCGAACATGTATTTGCTAAAGATTTATGTACGTATCGCGAAATTAAAGCAGATTAACAGAGCATAATTATAAGCAATAAACCTTTAATCCCGATAAGCTTGATAAACCCGCGAGCGAATATAATTTAAGCGCGAACGCTTTCTCATATGAAGGGAAGAAAGATCTTTTCCAGGAACGCCCACGATGCATTTATAAATACGGAGAATACAAATTGTGGGGTTGTGCCGAAAAAAATGAGAACGGCGTAAAATATGGGTCGCGTGGATACGTACGAGGAAAAGGGCAAGGGGTGGAGTCGTAAGAAATAGCGGTGGAGGAGTCAAAGGTCGAGGAGGAGGTCAAAGAGAAAGAGAAAGAGAAAGAGAAAGAGAGAGAGAGAGAGAGAGAGAGAGAGAGAGAGAATATGACGAAATAACGAGGAAAAATAAAAGTATTAAAGGTTAAAGGGACGACGAGGCGAGGGTGCATAAATATTCATAATCGCATGGAAGCACGGGAAGGGGAGGAAAACAAGGGAAAACGGAGGAAAACAGAGGAGCGTCGAAGAAGAGCGTGGAATCAGTGGTGGGAATGAGAGTTGAAACGGAGGAAAGAGCAAATGGGGGATAATGGTGGCGAAAATGATACGAGAAGCGAATGTTAAAGTGATTTATATGTCGCGGGCAAAATTAGAAAAAATTAGAGAAGAGGAGATGTAACGAAGAGGAATCGGTGATGAAAAATGACGGATATAAATAGGTTAAAGGAACATGTCGATGGAAAAGTTTTTAATTTCTTGCGCCCTGATTCAACAGGATTGAATCGATTTACGAATTGAATAATTTTAAATTTTCCAATTTGCGGTGATTTTTGATGGCGAATTATAAAATTATAAAAACAAGTTAATGTCAAATGTTTCGCAACAAGTGAGTAAATTTCCAAAAATTGAAAAATTTTCTCTCGATGCGTTAAACGATTACAAATATGTATACGTATTTTATTTTATTCAGGAATTTGATCATCTCTTTCGAAATTGGCTACGAATTTCGTTTCCCTTATTCCCACCCAATATCTTGGTTCACTGGCGAATGGAACGTAAGCTTGTACGATATTCGTATCTTTTATACGATAAAAAAAAAAAAGAGGAAAGAAATCCTTATCGATAATTTCATTCTCCAATGTATTCAAATTTGCACATTCTCGTATAACTATTCCACGACAATCGCGCGTTAAATTTTAGTTTGCTTTAGAATAAGTTACGTATGCGTATATTATTATCAATGTGATTCATGCATACGTACACGAATGTACGTTGATAGGTCGAGGAATGTATACACAGATGCATCGTATGCAGATAGAGAACGTTTTTTTCCCTTTCGCGTCGACGTGTATGCGCGTATATACGAGAGGGGAAAAAAAAAAAAAAAAAAAAAAAAATTTCGCAGTGTCGAACATGGCCAATGGTTCATTGTTCTCTCAAACAGACAATGACAATGTGTGGGTCTTTCGAATCTCGTCGCTGACGAAATTTCTCGTTCAACAATGGAGTGGAAAATTGAAAAATACTGACTAACCTAAAAAGACAATTATCGTCGATTACTTTCTTTTTTTCGGAAGCATTTCTCCTTCCTCTGTATTGCATAATCATATATTTGTTGATATTTTAACAAATTTTTCTCAATTTTCGAAAATTGAAATACGAAAAAATCAAGTTTAATCTTCTAGTATAATAATAAATGATCAGGCAACGAATTATTTTTCGTTTAATGGATAACAATCGGGTGACGAACAAATTGACCAATGACAAACGAAGTTAATCAGCTTGTTAATTGGTGCGCGAGGAGATCGATGAATATCCACTCCAGTCGTATAAATTCGTTACAAAGCCTGTATTTGTGTTTGACCAAGTTCGTCAAAGTTTAATTCCGTACCCGTGTTTTGACAACGTGAAAATCGACATGAAACGCGAAGCGCGATCATTCATCGATATAATAAACTTACAATTTAAACGCACGATGGAAAATGCAATATGAACAGTCGAAAGTCGTGCATTTTATACAATTTTTCCTCGAATTATCGTGACATCCATTGGATCTATCTTTAAGAAAAATTTTACCTTTAAAAACCACGATTGACACATTGAAGAAATCTCTACTAAAATAATAGCAATAATCACAATCACTTGATAAATTCTTTCAATTTTTAAAACATCTAATGAATTTAATTAAAATCCAATGTTAAAATATTCGTAACGAAAATCAATTTCGAAGAAAGAAAAACAAAGGGAACACGAAAACAATTGATAATATCGAAACGCAAACACGAAAGTTTGCACGTGTATAATCATCGTGCAAATGGCGCGGATAATACAATATATCGAGATTATTATTATCTCGAGAAAGTTATAAAAAAAAAAAGAAGAAGAAGAAGAGGTGTCAATTACCGGTGAATGTCATGCGCAATGAAACGAGATATCCAGAAATAGATTGACGAAAGTGCAAGGTTAAATCGAATAAGATCGTCCCGGTGCACCAAATAATCGCAATTGCACGTCTACTTGTACGACATACTTTCTTTATTGCAAAGATGTCACTGCCACGTAGCGTAACGAAGGCCGTTTGTCAACGGGCGAATACTGAGCGCAATTTACAAACCGTTTGTGATGTAATTTCTCGAATGAGCCGTCTGGTATTAATCAATGACATCGAATATACGTATTAATTCTTAAATATTTTTCGTATGGAGCCTTGTAACGAGTTATTTATTAACATGGCATTCAAGTCCAATATTATTCGATTGTGTAAATATTAAGCGTAATATTTCATTTTTTGGATTTTTTAAAATATACTTGAAAAAATTATTAAATGGGAAGAGTTTGAAAGAAACTAAAATATCAACTCGATATTTCGAAGTCATCGTTCCGTCAACATTTGACGTTACCCGTACGTTATAAACATTAAACAGTTATTATACAACGAGTTAATATTGTTTTCGACGAAGCTGGATTTTAAATTCCAAATTTGTGACTGATTTGCATTGAGAAAAATTTAGATACATTCGAAATCGTGAAGAGAACAATTAAAACAATCGATTACCTTTTTTTAAAACGTAGGATCCAATCGAACGCAATCGAACCTCCTTCACGATCTCTCCCTTCAGCGTCCCTTGAAAAATCCGTCCTCACTCCACTTCGCCGAACAAAAAATCGAAAAGAAACCTTATCAAACGGAGAACTTTCAAAATTTCATCTCCACGATATCTCCACGATTAATTACTCTAAAGTTCCAAGAAAAAAAAGAAAAAAATCTCCGTAAAGTATTTACTATTTCTCGCACGATCCACGTGTGTGATCCCCCGTTACTCGAACGAGGAAAACAACAAGAAAAAGAAAAAAAAGAAAAAAAGAAAACACTCGGTTGATCAGTCGTTCGGCCGGACAGTCACGCGGTTTTCTTTAGCCGAAGAAAAAAGCAGGTAAACACACTGGCCGTATACTTTGAACAGTACCCTAATCTGCTCGTTTGTTAACAGGGATCGAGAGCGTTGACAGCCGCGCGATCGAGTTGCGGGCATAGGAATAAAGAGCGACGACGCGAACGATCGAATCGGGATTGCAATTTTTTCGAACGATAAAGGGGATGTATAATGTGTATGTAAGGCACGATGCGCGTGGAAAGCCACGAGGCATAGAGTCAGTCACGGCTCGGCAGTCGGCGTACACTGCAAGCCGAACGTCGCCGCCACGCGACTCCCAACTCGAAAGCGGAGCCGCGCAAGATGGTCGACGGCGAACCGGCTCTTCCATTGGCTGCCCGCTGCCGCTCAGGTATACACACGCCGGCTCTGTTATCGAAACGGGCATACTGATAACAAAGCGAATGCTCCGCTTTTCTATCGTAGTATAAAAATTTAGCAGTTTGGGATTCCGTGTATAATTCCCGCCTAAAAATCGGGGAATTTTCGAACCTAGCTTTTCGATCAAATCCGATTTTCGGGGAATTTTTTTTAACGAAAGTATAAAGTGCTTGCTCGATTCCTATAATCCATTTTCGTACATTTTATGAGAAATTGCGCGAAAGGGATGGTATATTGATATATAAAATCATTTTATATTTATACCGTGCGAATGCTCCGCTTTCGATCGTAGAATGAAAATTTAGAGAATTTTTTTTTTTAACGAGCTTTGTAATGCTAAAGTGCTTGTTCGATTCTAATTTCGTACATTTTATGAGAAATTGCACGAATGATTTTATATTTCGACCATCCCTTATGCTATGCGAATGTTTCGATCATAGAATGGAAATTTAGCAGTTTGAAATTCCCGCGTAAAAATTCTATAAATCTATAAATTTTCGAAGCTATCTTTTCATCAAATTCTCGGGGAATTTTTTTAAACGAAAGTATAAAGTGCTTGCTCGATTCCTATAATTTCGTACATTTTATGAGAAATTGCGTGAAAGAGATGGTATATTGAAATATAAAATCATTTTGATAGAAAGTATCTGTCTTTTCTTTTTTCTCTCCAATTGTCAGAACGTTGTTTAGAACAAGTTTTTATATAAATTTCCTTTTTAGCCAGGTTAATTCAATTAACGTTCAAGTCAATCCGCTTTTCGAAAAACTAGGAGCTATAATTGAATTTCTCTCTTTCGATTCAACTTTATGTATTTTTCTCTCTGTATAAATACAAACGAAAAAAATTTCTCGTTCCGTGAATCATCAGCATTCACTTTAATCGCAGCCCTTACACGCCGGCCTTAAAGGATTCACAATTAAAATCCAATTCCGAATCGAAGCCAATCGGCGGCAGAGTGAAAATTACATTTTCACTTGGAGGAAGGGAGCAATTAACGAATCATGCGAATCAAGTTATCCCTTCCCCGGATTGGTCGAGGCCGCGAGGAATGCAACTAACTTCAAATTTCCGCCGGGATTGAATCCCGAAACGAGCGCCAACACCGTGTAGGTACCGAAAAATTTTGTCACGTATCTACCTTTTCCCATTCTTTTTCGCCCTTCGTTTGCGCCTGTCCTGTGCGGGCCCTATCTCGCGCGCGCATCCACCAAGGTCGTTGCATTCCTTTCCCTTCCGCCCTATTGTGATGCCATACGCGTAATTATGCAAATTCCGAACAAGCGAGCAAGGAAACGCCCAACTACACGTGTCTTCAATACGATATATTTGTATTTTCACGTTAATTTTTTTTTTCTTCTTTTTTTTTACAGCGATGAAATATCTCCATGACTTAACCGGATGCCGGTTTGGAATTGAAATGAATTATATCTTCGCGGGTTAGAATTTTAATATCTATTCGATAGATGTACTCTTGTTTGACGAGATCATCCAATGAAATCAAGTTTCAATTTCAATGAATAATTACGAATTAAGAAAATTATTAATTGTACAAACCCTGATGCAAGATAGAGCCCGATCCCGAAAGAAGAAATATTATAAAAATATTCTACGACGTGATACATCTCGTGCATAATTCTATATATATATATAATAATAATTAAATATAAAAATAATAATTTTAGCAACGAAGGATAGTGAGAAAGTTGGAAAACGTTAGTTGCCACGTCTTGCCAAGGACGATAAGAACAATTCCTACCCCCTTAATGGAGGAGGAAATTCTGCATTCGTTACCGGCCGTTTTCTTAACCAGAGTTATGCCAGGATCATTAAACAGATTGCAAAAAGGCCACCAAGATCCAGGATACGCGGACGTTTTACGTGCGTGCGTGCCGCACATCGTGATTTGTAAATACACACCACATCCTGCTTATTCCCTTACGTGTGCTCACGTGTTTTCGCGCGAATATTATCTGAGCCAAGCCCGAGCCAAGGAGGCTGTAAAATATATCGGTTGTTATCGTGAAACGCAGTTGAAAGAAGCTCGCCCCGCGCTGTATTTCTTACGGTTTCTCTATGTTTTACTATCGAGAGAGAGAGAGAGAGAGAGAGAGACTTGCATATTTACGCACTGGTGTGAATTGCAACTGGATCTGGATAATTAGTCGGTGTTCTCGATACGGTACGTTTAATATGGAAATTAAATCGATGAATCGTTTCTTAACTTCCTAATTGAATCGCGATTTTTAATTTTTAGTTTTCTTGGAAATTATTGCTTGGAATTTTATTGCATTCGTACGCGGTTTTGTATTTCATCGAAGATAACGGTTGGTTAATTATAATAATCTTTTGTAATGCAGTTGTTCGTATGTAGTTGTAGCTTTCTTTATGGACGATTCCGATTTTTATTCGTTCCGTTAATTTAGAATGCTACGAACGTCGTGTCACGTCGGAAGAGATGACAATAAGAGTTTCCAAGATTTATTTTCGATGAATTGCTATAATCTTTCGATCTTCGTTTTTCGTAAAAATTTATTGGCAAGCGATTTATTTCTTATTTATTATTTCTTTATTTATTATTTCGAACGTTGTTACGTACGAAGAATGAGAAATTCGTTTTAATCTTATGCAGAGACGTTAACGAAACACGAACAGATATATTTGCGTGGATTGGTATTTTCAACACGCTTCGAGAATTGGGAAGCGCGTAATTCGAGGAAAGAGAAGCATAAGAGAAGCATCGATACATCTAACCGCAAACAGGTATCGACGCAACGAAGAAGGTAACCACGAGATTGTGATACATCGGCGGATGAACCGTCGAAGCCAGACAATAACTGAACGACATTTATCCATTTACAATGTTCGAATACAACGGATAACACGGTGTTATTCTACGATAAATTTCATTCTGAATGAACGACAGAAAGAAAGATTATAATAAAATACCTTTTTTCTTTCTTTTTTTATAAATTAAAATACCAATAAACCTCAAATGAAAATTCTTTCTTTTATTGCAGTGAAATAGCGATTTGAAAATCGTGTATATATGAATGACGATCACTTTCACAATGGATGAATAGAGAGGAAAAAAAGAAATAGAGGAAATTTTAGCATTTTTGAACAAATGAAATTTTATCAATATTTATTAGAAATCATATATGAATGACATTCTTCTATCTGGTATAATGGAAATAGTTGCATGCAATGAAATGATAGTTGCATCCTGTTAAACAGTTTTGTTTTGTTCACGACAATTGCTGCAACACCAACGCGTGATACGTAATCGCGCATAAATGACAGAAATTCCATTGAATCGGGTTTGTGCACGCCTAAATGCAGGGTTAAGTTCTAATCTGGCACGCAACCGGAAACGAACACGAGTGCTTCGCTTCGCCAAACAATGCTTTCGAAAAAAAAAAAAAAAAAGAGAAAGAAAAGAGCTCAACAATGGAAAACAATAACGACAGACGGTGCGCGCAATACACATTCACGCAAGGGAAGCTTTGGTCAGTATTTTCCTGCTCCCTTCTTCCCATTGCGCCAATTTCACAGATAAATCTTTCAGGGAGCACGATTTTTCGCTCACTGAAAATGTTATCTTGCCCACGAACGAGCCTATCTCGTTATATAAAAAATATGAAATTCAAATTTTAATCTCAGAAGAAATTTTCGAAGTAAGTTTTATCCTTGATTATTTGATTAAAGTGATATATTAACGTTGAGTAAAAAAAAAAAAAAAAAAAAAAAAAAAAAAAAANNAAAAAAAAAAAAAAAAAAAGAAAAAATGTATTATCATATTTTATTAGTCATAGATCGTATGATTATTTAAATATTCGAACAAGTTAATTTCCAATCATAAAAAGTTTGCATTTATTATTAGCAAAATTAAATTATTTAAATATTGAGATGTACACGTTGCTTAAATAATTTTTCTTTTGTGTCATCAATGTAAAATTTAACTTAAAAAAAAAATATATATACATCGATTTATAGAAAAAGAATACAATAGAATAAATTTTAATTTGTGATAAGAGATAATTTCTTCATAGAAATTTAATTCAAAAGTTAAATTCGTGGAAAAACATATAAAGTAAAAAATAAATTATTATTATTAATTTTCTTTTATCTTTACCTCGCTTTATCCATAAGATAATTGATATAATAATCATCTACCGCATAATTCAGCCTATTTTATCAAGTGTAATAATTTTTCAATTAAAATGATAATATATCGATCGTATTTTTCTTTTTTTTTTTTATCGAGCATTTAAAAGCTCAATGAGATTTAATCGATCAGAATTAATCAGATTAACGTATTATTTTTTTTCTTCTCATTATTTTTGTAATAGAATAGAAAGAAACACGTGTTCACTTTCATTCATCGACAATCAAGGAAGGTATATACATGTTTTTCTGCAATTTGGCTACCGCCTTTGAGGAAACGCATTACTTTTATGTGATCCGGCCAACAAAAGTAGTTCATACAAAGATATGCACGTGACACACGTGAAAGCACCGCGAAAACGGATTGAGCAGCGTTAAGCTTTAGATCTCAAAGGGAAATTAATCGTTCTTTCTCCAATGGCAATCAAAATTGCTATTCCTTTTTCTTTCTTTTCTCTTCCATATATTCCATATATTCGTGAAATTTGATTCGTATTTGAATATTAAACGGAGATCGAGTTGAAAATTCGTAAATGGTGCTTGCGTTAGCTTAATCAGAATATTATATGTAAATTTTATTGATTAACTTACGAAACTTATTGCATTAAAAAATTTCAAAATGGAAAACAATATTTACATTGTACGTTGA